TATTCTAAATTAATTTATGCTTTTATTTTTTGAGTAAAAACTTGTTCTATCTAGTTATGCAGGATGATCAAATTTGTTAAGACACTCAATATCTTAAGAACTATTCAGAATTTTTGTTAAGAGAAAAAAATTGGGTTCAAAAAACTTTATAATCGATAAAATAGTTAAATAATTTATGTTTCAATTAAGTGGTAAAAAACCCCAAATCAAATTTTTTTAATTTAAACCCCTATAATTAACTTGATAAAATGATAAAAAAAAATTACCAACATTTTGTTCTTACAATTTTTTTTTACCTGATGAAACGTTCATCCACTACAGAATTTAAGGACATAGGGTGAGTATGTAGCGAGGGCGGAGTGTACATTCACCAGTCATTATGTTTATAATTAACAGGAAATGTGTACGTGAAATATTTACATGATTATTGTTGAAATCACGACCATTTCAATTACTGACATTGGTGCGTATGGATAGAAGTATTTCTCAGCAGGTATCTGATCGAGTACACAGAACTTTCCACATTCATTCAGCATCGTTTCCGCATCGACCTTTTAACTATAAACCTTCTCGTGTGGGTTGGAACGTTCGAAAAATAATAGAAGAACATGACCATATAGGTGCACTTGTTGTTTTTTTTTTTTCATTTTATTTTATTGTTTTCTTGTAGCACCGAATTATTGAATATTCGATGGTTCAAGGACAAGGTCAAATAGCGATTGCGATTAGTGTGCAATATTACCGACCGCATAAAGAGTTGAAGATAAGTGTAGTGCCGAAGTTAAAATGTGCTTTTACTTTAATCCCTAACACATGAATACAAAGTGATTAATAATAGACCTAATGTATAAAACAACTATCAATTATATAGTAAACTGTTGTATTTTTTTTTTGTAGTATTTTCATTACTTATTTTAATGATATTTTGGAAGTTCTTATTAAATATGTCTATGCCCAAATTATAATTTTTGAAAAGATTTAGTAGAATTTGGGAGACTTGTACTTCATTTTAAGGTTAAGTTAAACCTTAACAATTTTATTTTCTAATTGAGTACATGACTTTTTGTTCGTTTTTCTTTAGGGGCATTACAATTGTAATTTAATAGCTTTTTGAAACTTAAAAAAACCACAGAAAAATTCTCTCAACGCCCTAAAATAAAACACTGATGTAGCCAGTGGTGAGACTTATAGGTAATTAATATGTTATATATACAGTTAATTAAGATAAATATATTTATATAACTAAAGTCATGGTAAACTAGTTTAGAATAACGTAGTATTAATGCAATCAGTGTTAAATCAACACTGATTGTTGTTGAAATTAGAACAAAGTGTGAAAATTAACAAAAAATACCATTAGCAAAGTAATATTAGAGTAAATAATGTTATTTTTGCTTATTAGCTGCATTTTACATTTATAACAACAAGAAATGAAGTGGTCAACATAGATGCGATTTTAAAAAAGAGGTTTAAGAATCCAACTTAATTTCTCCCTTTCTTAAAAATATTTCTATATAAATAAATGTATAATATTCATAAGTTTTGAGGAGCTAAGCTCCCTCTAGACACTCTAGTTTACGTCTATAGTTATCAAAACTAAAAAATGTCATATCAATAAATTGTAAACAATTTCTTTAAATATTACTTTATATCTCATTATTTTTACGAACTTGAGTATTTATTTTTTAATACTATTAAATTAATTTAATATTGATCTGTCCTTACTGATGATCGTTTTAAGTATTAATAAAGCTTTATTGTACTATTTATAATAACTAGATTTAAATAACTCTTCATCTATCTATTATTTTTAACATTATAGTATAAACAATTTACAATTGGTTCATATTTTTTTTTTTAGTTAGCTTTTACAACAAACCCTTCAAATTTAGCGTTACATTCAAAAATTATTTACGCTATAATTATTACATAAATAATGTGAAAACATTAATAATAATTTATTAAAATTATTTAAAGAAAACTGAATTTAAAATAAATATCAATTACATGTAAATGTATTACAAATAAAGTATTGATTGTAAAACCACGTGCCAATATTTCCAGGAAATTAACTGACAATAAACATGTTTCGTAATCTCAATAATCTTTTAACATATTAATGATAAAAATTCTTTACACACAATCAAGGATTTAATGAATGATTCACCTAGTGAAGAAATGATAGGTACAAAATAATTTAAAATTCAATGTAGTCTTGTGGGTTTTTTGAGAAAAAATTCATGTTAGAGCATGTATAAAATCAGAACTTCCTTACTATTGTTGTTAAAATTTTTTAAACTATTATTTAATTATTTATTATTATATTATTCAAAATCAAAGAAAAATTTAATATATAATAAAAAGATCATTCATTAAAATAACCATCGTATTTTTAATGGAGATGTAAAATATCATAAGCAAAATATATTGATTATGTTATCGTCGTTGCAAAAGTAATGCTTTCATTAATGTATATAACTATAATAATTGCACTTATCAAAGAAATAAAGTAAACACGATGTTGCGCCTTACAACTGCGCAACTTAAAAGTAATATTTTCATATTTTATACATAAAACATCATTAGCAATGTCATGACCATTAACAAGTTTTACATTTATATTATATAACAGTCATAAATGAATTAATAAAATATGGTTCATTGTCAATAAAACTAACCAAGGTGAGACCTTCGTAGTTAACCCGATCAATAAATGCTTATGTCTGCAGTCGATATTTTCAATATATTTAACACATTTTCTGTGCAAATTAAAATTAATATTTACATATGAATGATATTAAAAGTATGTATTTATAGCGTGTAATCAGCACGCGGATAAATTTCGTATGGTGTAATCAAGTTCACGACTCCCCGACACTTGATCATTGTGTGATGACATGTCGGCCTCTCGATAATATAATGCTGACATAGGTACATTCAAAATGTATAAGTGTCCTATTCATACATTATAATATTACTATGTACAAATAACCTTAACGATTTTCAAGTTTATTTTTTACCGATTTTTTTTCTTCTGTACTATTATACTGATTCTATTTTTTACATTTTTTTGGAACATCTAGCTGCAAGAGAATGTTGACGTATGCGTTCATTGCAAAAGTATGCAATCGCGAAGGTTATGGTGATAAGATAACATGCGCGATCCTAAGTATGACAAGCTATTAAGAGGTCAACCGGACTGCAATAGTGTGTGCGATAGAAAAATAATCGGAAACTAGTCCATTGAACAAGGCCAGTTTGAAGGAAATGCAGAGCAAACGTTCTAGCGTTACGCCTCCTTGTCTGCTACTATTGCCTATAACAACCCCCTTTATTCCTTCAATGCAAATAAAAAATACTATCAGAATCTCTACACATTTCCTACTTTCGAAAACCTTCACAGATGCAGCACTTGTCGATTATATATAAACAAATCTAGACAAAATTTGTTCATCTACACATACAAATCAGACTATTATTGTAGTTCGATACCATGTCAACCCAAGATCCATGAATTCCAAGTCCAAGATCAAGTCCAGGCGTAGCTTTACTAACTTCCCACTTTATGTATTCCAAAAACAGCTTTTATATATTTTTTTATTTTGAAAAGCCCTACCGATTTTTATAATATTTGATTTTTAATACTGCATTTTATTCTGATTAAATTCATCAGTATCAATTAATACAAAATATTTAAAATATCCCTTTTCCGATTTTTATATATAAACACGATATATTATTGACCTTGTTGGTTTATATATTAATAACACAATGAAAAATGTGGTCATTGATCTTGTAGTTAGATAAAATTTAATCAATACAAATATACTCGTACATAATTATCATTAGCGTTGTTTGCATGAGGGCTATGGAGGCAAATAAATAAAATTTGAATTGAGAGTAGGAGATTGTAGTAGGGAAGATAGGTCCAAACTCATGATGTCTATAATTATACACTGATTTGTAAACACATAATAAAGTATTCAAAAAATATGTGTTGATTATTTAGCGTTGTGAAAATATTAACAAAATAATATGACATTTTTATACGTTTTCAGAATAAATTGTATAATTTTTAAAAATAACAACAATTGGTTTTGTTTAAAAATTCGTAAAAGAATTAATAGATAAAAAGAAATGTGAATATAAATTTACAGGATTGTGTACAATGATGGCTAAACAAGTAAAACAATCGGGATAAATTCTAATTATGTATTAAATATATATCGTGTAATAAGAACGATGGTAGATAAAAAAGAATAGTTTTGATCATTATTTAAAATTGTTTGATTATGTTCCTATCTAAATGCATAGGCAAGAAAAAATAAATTAAGAATTGAACTTTTGTATTTTGTTCATATAATATAAATAAAAATGTACATTAAAATTTTGTATATTTTAATTTTGTATAATTTATAACAGTATGTACAAAAAAATGTATAGAAAACGTAACGAGTATTTTATTTTTACTATTATAAAATTAACTAATTATATGATCTTATTACATGATTACAGACGTATTTAAGAGGGGGTATGGGCCCTAGGTTTAAAAAATGTAAATACATTTCTGGTATTTGATTAATATAAGCGTCAATTTGACTGACTCAGCTAAATGATAAAACGTGGATACATCCGTAAATATTTCAAGCAATCTTAAATTGTATATTACCCACTTATAAGACATTCATAAAACAATTGGAAGCAATCAATTTTTAGTAGGTGGTATTAATGCAATCTACCTTAATTGTTAAGATAATTTTAAGAAAATTTTACTAGAGTATAATAATTATACTCTGGTACAAATTCAGTAACAACTGTTATTAGAAATATTTTAAACAAACATTTGATATAGTATATATACTATAATATAATTCTTTAATATTTATAATTACCTTATCGAACGAATTAAATTATTGGTTTAGACCTGTTTAGTCTATAATTATTGCATAAGAAGGCGTGTTATACGACGTTATATTTACATATACAAATATGAACTAGCTAAAAATGTAACAGCAATTATTAACTCAACTTGAATAATGAATATTGATATAAACATAATATTTACATATATAACACCCTCCTATAAGGATTAATAAGTACTGTAATAGACATGTATTTTTTGTGTAAATATCTATTAGTTTTTTTACCAATGATCAAGGTATTATTACACTAATTGTGGTGATATTAAGGCTTCAATAAATCAGCTTCTTTGTGTACTGGTAATGGAGAATAAAACTATTATGTGTTTATAAAAGGTACAATAACCTAAAATCATTCATGAAAATTAATCGAAATAGTATATGTTTAATAGTTACTTCACTTTAATACAATATTAGCTTAACTTTATAAAAAAATGTTTAAATTAATAAAGTAATAATTTATCTATTTAATAAAAATATAATTTCACCCAATGTTTCTTGCACTAACTGAATAATTTTTAACTGGTCGTATGAACCAGTATGGGCTTGTCTAAAATCATTTGATATTTTCAAAAAAAAGTTATTTAAATGTAAACAATTACATAGTAAATGTGTATTAAAAAATAGACAAAAATTTATTCTTTATAATTGAGATTGAATTCGTTTAAAATATTGCATTTACTAATAATGTTATGTAATCAGAATTATCATTATACATTTTTTTAGATTCTATCACATTAATCATAATTTGTTTGGAATTCCTTTATTATAAGAGATCATGAACAGTTTAGAACGTTAAAACATATAGTTTTCAAAATCTCAACAATTAATTTACTATTAACAAGTTTTAAATAATTATATACATTAGCATTTATCAATAAATAAAAATCTTTATTTATTAATATTAGAATAAATAATAATTTTGCGTAGGTAATCTAACAAAACATAAAATTCAGACGGAAATGGAGTATAAGCTATAATGGAAATTCAAGATTACATTCACACCTACGCATTACAACTTTAAACAAGTAAGTAATATTCTGAAAAATAATATAATGCTTTTTATTATCCTATGACTAAAAAAAAGCACATAATTAGGTTACCGTATTTATTTTTTATATTACTTGTACAACATTAATCTTATTTAATAATTCTATAACGCTGTACTAAAATGTAAGGAAAATAATCTCACGCAGTTGAAATAATATTAGTAAACAAAATTATTAGTTTTAAAGTATTAAATCCCATTTTTGTTAATGTGATATAAATTAATTTACATATAGAGCTCAGAAAAAATAAAACAACAATTTCTGAATGATAAAATGAAAAAATTAAGTATAGTAAATCTATTTTTTATTGAATACCTAAAATGATTATTCTGTATTTATTAATTTTGTTATTATCAGAAATATAAATTTAAAAAAAATAATAATTTTTACAGTAATATTACATATTGTCCATAAACCAAATTTTAAAAGACAAATGAGTAAACTTACTTAATCTAAAAGCTAATCTATTATGTTATTTATTTTCTTATGATTATCAGTTTGGTTAGCTTTTTTTTAATAATACATAAAATGATTTAGAAGTATTTAACTATTTAGAATATACAGGGTTTTCAGGATTTCATAATTAACACTGATCTACATGTAATTTTATTTTTAGTTTTAAATACTTAAATTTTATTTAAGCACAATTTAATTGATTGAGAAAAAATTGATTTTATAATAATAATAACGTAATTATAATAAAATATATCAGTAGTCCTCAAAATTTTTATTTTGTCAATATTCTCAGACCACAGTGGAAGTTTTAATAGATTTTTCATAAAATAGTCTTAAGCAACCAAAGTGTTATGAAATAATTTAAAATGTTTAAAAGTAATATGTTTCAAAAATAATATTCATTATTTTGTTGAATTTTGTATAAAATAAAATTAAAATCGGAATATTTTTTTAAAGTAATTTATAAATATATTATATTTAATATCTATACCTTGACAAACGAGCAAGTCTTTCAATTGTTCAATTAGTAAATTTATGTAATTTATACAAGATAAGCCTTTGATTAATTTAACAATTATTGGTTTATAAGAGCAGTTCATTTTAAAACAAATTCTTTTTTTAAAAGTTAGTAGTTAACTCAAAATAAATACCAGTAAAATGATTTTATTTTATACTTTTATTAAAATATCGCATACTTTATAATAACAACTGGTATATTTTACAAACATTAATTAGAATACATTAGCTAATTATATTAACCATGTTATTGCGCTAAACACTGAACAACTAATTAGCTTTTTTCCAATCTCAATGGTAACATAACAACACATATAAATAATGTTCAATGATAACCATATCGATGAAAGTGTAGACATATGCACAAATTGGGGATCCATAAAGGGACTAAGCCCATCTAATTTCAAAATTAGACCCCCAAAATTTCAACAATATTATTTACAGTATTCAAAAATTAAGGAAACTGAATAATTATTACGAACAATGAGAATAGAAACTTTATTTCTTACTTACTTCTTCCCTATATATGATATATATAGAAAAATTACTACATAGTAGTGAAGTATTCTAAAAATTTTATTGAAATTGCATCTTTAAGCGTAGGACAGTTCCCCACATTGCTGCTAGTTAATGATTGATCATATTAGTAGATTTTTTTTTATGAGGTCTTTAAAATTATTTTTAAAAATATTGTATTATTAAAACTATACGTTCAGTTAGCAAAAGGGAAATAGTTTTCTACTCTTTATCTTTTAAAATAGGGGTCAGTCCTGTATTTAATAAGAAAAATATTCAACATATTACCTTCCTTCATTAGAAAACCACTTTTGAAATTTATTTTTCCAAGAAATTTTTATATTTTTATACATAGATTGGCGAAGGAGCGCGACATGTGTAATGTCGATGATGTATAATAAAAATTACATGTCCAATTCCATTTTTTAAAACATCAAAAATATTATTGAAAATTTTCTCTTCCAATTATACCAATTCTTAACTACTTAATTTTCTAATATTTAAAGTAGCACAATATATATGTTGCCATTTAATAAAATAAAAAAAACGCTAGTACAGTGGATCGTGGCATAGTTGGGACAAGTATAGATGATATCTGATATAAATTAAAATTACTATCTTAAGAAACACTTCGATGCAAATCTGTAGATAGTGTTTAATTTTAAAAAATTAGTGGATTGTACCAAAAGCAAAATGAATTCATATTTTTTGTTCAACTTCTACTGCTATTTACACATAGAAGGTAAGTCGTCGTGATAAATTTTTTTTTCGATTTATAGAATGTAACATAAGCTTTAACATATGTTTAAAAGACGCAATATTTCCGGAACATTTTCAAAAGTAATGTTTAAAAATTGATTTTTGTTAAAAAGTTACTATTTTGTATTAAGTTTAACACCCTGTAGGCAAGTAAATGGTCGAATTTTGAAAAAATTTAAATCAATTAAAAGAAAAATACCTAAAGTTTGCATATTAAAAAAAATAAATTTGTTTCGTATACTTTTAAAGTTATGGCAGATTTAAGAAAAAAAAAGTGAAAAAATGTCAAAATTTACCGATTTTAGAAATCGTAATTTTTTGGGTGATTTTCACCATTTAAGGGAAACGAGAGAAATTTTTTTAATTTTTGAGAGTAATGTCTTCAACTAGATACAATTTGTGATCTTTTGACGTATCGTTGAGAAAAATTGGTCCACTGAGAGCTAAGAAATGTAATGACAGACACAAAAAAAAAATTAATACATCATGGTAAAATTAATACCTTCTCAGCTTCGCATCGAAGCTAAAATTGGTAACCTTATAAGGAATCTAAAAAATATTTAACCACTTATAAAACAAGAAATGATTATTATTAATCTAAACCCAAAAAAATTTCTTAAAGTTATTATTATTATAAGAGAAATGTAGTCAATGATAAATATATAGTATAGATTTATTGACTATACATGTGCTCCAATGAACTGATACTAAAGATCCATTGTGTTGAACTATAAAAGTTTCTTCGTTATTTTGAACATAGAACATATTTTTAAAAGAGAGCGTTAATTATTAAAACAAAAAATGTTTAATTATATCGTTAGTTGACAAAAAAGTACAATTCGGACAGCACATTAAAACATAAAACTAAAACACAATTAAAAACTACAATATTAATAATACAGGTATTTTTCTACAGTAAAAATATTATGCACAAAAGCGAGGGTTCATAAAATTTGAATACATAATCAATAGGGTAACAATTCATTAAAGTTTTAAATTATTCTGTATACAATTGAACAATAAAAATGGTCCCGTTTATTAAACAGTATAGTAAATGTGAAATACTTTACAATTTAAACTTACAATAATTGTCGGTATGGATGCATTACACTAACAGTTTAAAAATTTTAATTATCGTGTACTTAATTTATGATGCCCGAACTAAAAATTCTCGGGTGAGATCTAATATTGGCACTCGGTTAGGAGACTTTAAGTCTTAATGTTATTATTTTATCATGAAATAATCACGTAGTGCAATAGTGTGCTATACACCAAAAAATACTGCATCATATTATATCACTTTGATGTTGGTATATATAATACGGCTACTTGTAAGGTAAATTATATACTTTCACGAATTTTCAACACGATTTTTTATCAAATTTGAAAATTATTGATTATTTCAGGATTTAAATCACTTGTTTCAATCACTTTCTGGCAGTTGACATTACTAGGGGTGACAGCATGTAGCTACTTACTGGTCACCCCTGTCGATCGTCATAAACGGGCCATTCTTCGTCTTTTGCCAGTCTGCTGCAATCGCCATTCCAACCATCCGTACAAAAAAACCGCTAACACTAATGCAGCCGATAGACAATACAATTTTATCGTATTGCATAGAATACTATGAAGTCCAAAAGCCATTGACATTCCTAAATACCGGAAAAAATAGCCGTGCGCCATAGGGCCATGCCAGACTTCCGGATATAGAGATATCACAAAGTCTATAAAAAACACAAACATATTCATTAATACGTAGTAATATTATGACATTGACTCATAAAATAGACAATAGTGTGTTAAAATTTGAAGGAGTTCAAGTTATGCAATTCGGTTTATAGAACATGCCTAGAAAATTACTTAACCGTAAACAACCTAATCGCCTATAACTTCATTACTACTGAAGACTGAAAACAGTCCGTATGAAAATCGTTTTTCTTTGCAGAGTTTACACGTGGTTTATATTTTTCTTTACTTAAATCTTACATAAGAAAATTGATAATTAGATAATGTTTCTTTGTTTATAACTAAATTATGTTAACAATATTCCAATATACTTGAGTGTATAGTTAAATAATAAAAATTAAATTTATCAAGATAATATTTGTTATATAATATAGCTATGGCCCGTAGGCTTAGAAGTGTAAGTTGGTTAGGGATACGGTTAATTAAATAATATTAATTTTTAATTATTAATTATAAATTTATGTTTCGTGAGTAGTAAATACAGTGTATTATTATTAGAATCATTTTATGAACTTAAATAAATTAAAATTGTCAAAAAAAAACTGACAAAAACTTTATACTGTATTATAGCGGCTACTTTTAAATGTGTACCAAGTACAAAAAAGCGTGTAATTTTTAAGAAATAAAAATAAAAAAGAATCTTCTTTACTCTTGTTTATTGAATTGACTTTTGATAAAAAAATTCCATTTAATAGAAACAGGCCTACACCGAGCCAATTATACTTTGGCGAGATATTTCCAGCATCTCCAGAAATTTTTTTCAGAATTGCTCCGTTGTCAAAAGAGCACTAATTAATAAACTTGATGTTGGATATATTTTATTTAAAAATAACGTTTTCAAAGTAAATTTTGTAAATTTTGTTTTTTTTTTTTAATATCTAAGCAAATTAAAAATTTCTTAATCTATTTTTTTAATTTGTTGCATAACTAAGCAAGTTATAGAATTTTGCCTTTGAACCAAAACAATGAAACATCACTTCGGATTATTTCGTTTATAGGTATTACGATTATTACATAATGCATTGTTTAAATTCATTTACCAAGTATAGTTAGCATATTTTGTAAAGATGTTAATTTAAATTGCTATTGAGTTAATTGTTAGAAAAAGTAATTATTTAAGTTGCTCTTTAGCACAGAGTAATGTAAATATTATTTTTATTTACACAGATCGTTTTAGTCAGCATTACAAATCTATAGTGATTTGTAAACTTACTAAAACAAAGCGTATTCCAAATGGCATTGCAAACACCCCATGCGGCGGCTATGACGTACAGTAATGCGGCATCGTCTCCTGACGGTTTCCATTTCATAAGTACCATAAGTAAACAAGAATGAAACGCAAATCCGATCACTTAATGTAAAAACAGAACATATTTGAATCATAAAATTGTAAATATTTTTGACTATGACATTTACCTATAATGTGATATCTTCTTATGTGTTGTAATATTAAACTAACGGTGAATCCGGCTATCAGCTGTAAGAGCCCTAAACTTAATATCACAGTTGGCACATTTGATACTCCGACTGAACAAACTACATAAAACTGAAAATTAAACGAGTATTTAGTATATTTAAGAAAATCATTATTATATTTAATACAATTTAAGTAATACAGTTCAATAAAAAGATGGAAGTAATCCATCTATTTCACGATGGACCTTCTTTAATAGCAATTGCCTTGTTAATTAGAAAAATAATAATCTTGATTGGGAAAAATCATAGATGGTCATTTGATTTTTACAATAACCGTGTATGAGTGTATATTTGGAACATTTATTAAAAATAAATTCCTTAAAAAACCTAACCACCTAGGTAAATATAAATATTTATAGGAGAAACTCATTAACGGTATATAGGTCACATTTTGGGATGGAAGTTTATACCCTGTGGATCCCGGTATGCACAATATAATAATAGTGAGGTGCTTTCGATGATCAGTATGGATTAAGAAAGTGCATGACTTTTGGGGTTCTTCGTGAATTCCTTAATCCAGCAAAGGAGAATCATTCTTCTGTATGTTCTTATTAACAGTAATGACACGATAGTGCTTAAAAATGATTCAAGAACGGGCGAAGGGAGTGTGTACAAATAAAATTCATTTTTAAACGCAAAATACAATTAAAATTTTTAAATACATCTCTTTAATAAAGATGTACTAACATTGTTGGTGATCACTGTACTATTAATGATACGCTTCTCTTAATTCTAAAAACTAAAAGAAACGGGAAAATAAAAGACAATTGTGTTAATTCGACTATATTATGCATGTTAATAAATCGATGTATTCAGGTTTAAAATACTTCCGTATATGATTCATTGAACAAGCGTGTCCTGTGTATTACCAACTCCGCACGAATCAAATTTTTTACGCAATTGTTACTATCATCTGCCTACCCGAACCCGTCTATAAATAACTGAGAAAATAACCTGATTGGTGAGTTCTTGCTTTTATTAGCATTGATGCGACCTTGGCCTCTACCACAAATTCGTGGGAATATAACCACTAGCGAGTTTGAAGCTCTAGTAAGATTTAAGATGAAAGATTTAAGGTTCGTGGGTTTTAATTTAAAAAATATCAAACAGAACGCATCCGTGTAGATTATGTACTATAAAAATGTTAATAAGCGTAGAAAACATATTTATTATCTATATAAATGTCGCTATAGGTTACCTTAGTAAAGTCGGAGTATATGAATCCTTGTTCGAGGCCGATGAACACGGACAGAGGAGCGATAAGCTGCAACTTAGTGTTGCGAAACGCCTCGCGAATGGCAGTAAAAGAACGGGCTCCGTTGGCTTTGCGTTTTTCAGAAGCAGACGCGTAAACAAACAAACGAATACGAGTCATGAACGTTGCAGTGACAGCTACACCAACGAAACAGCATCCAGCAAAAACGCTTGCTAATAGTTGTGTTGTCTTACCTAAGATCGAATGAAGTCTTAAATTTTAATGGTAATTTTCTAATTTTGAGTTTTATGACGTCGGAGACCTATGTCTCTTTGTCTGTTTCCATAATAACAAAAAAATTAAATATACGACAATAAAGTATCCATTAAACTTAATCTGATATATGATATTCCTGAATAGCATGTACAACAATTAACTACAATCTCTCGACTTTTAAATCATTATTTTTAATTAGATGATAGTACAATGTTATTTAAAATAAAAATAATTTTAAACAAAATTAATTCAAGTCTTGGGAGCAAAGACTGCTGATAAATTGTAAATGATTTTTCATAATTGATCAACAAAATTTCTACTCAACTAAAATTAAATTTTTGTTTTAATCATTATTAAAACTAAAATATTTTTTATATTATTTAATGACATATATTTCTCGATTTATTAGTTGTTACTTTTTTAATTCATCCCTTAATCCTCATAAGTGGTGTTATTTTTGCAATAAACCCTTTTTTTATTTTAGAATATACATCGATTTACAAGCGTATATCATTCAACATAAATAGTACTAAAGCGTTATTTTTCTAAGGTATACGTTAGATAAAAAATTGTTAGTTGTTATACACTATATACACGTATATACCCCTTCAAAACACCATTGCTTGTAAGGGTGTCAACTTTTTTTCTTTTTTTTTTAATCTTAACTTATATTTTAACTAGCTTATCAAATATTATATGGTCTCATTAAAAAAATGACTGGTCCATAACATTTTTGGACTAGTACTAAAAAAATTATTAACATTTATATACACAGGTGGTAGGGGAGGTTCAGCCGAAAAATTATTATTTTAAGAGGAATATAATAACTAGCGTTAAAAGAATCACAGTGTATAACGTTAAAAAAAACATTATAATGATATTTAATGAAAAAACATCACATTTAAAAATTTAATTAACGTGATTATATCAAATAAAAAAAAAGGAATATTAATGTAATATCAAATAACAAATAATATTGAAAATAATTTTATTTGCATATCAAAAAACGAAAATGCAAAAAAAAAGGATTTTCAATTTAAGACTTAATTAAGAGTTAAAAATATACAAAAAAACCGCTTATGGTTAACTAATTAAGTACTCCAGATAGAAAAACTAGTTTTATTAAAACTCAACCGTTCAAATACTGCGCATTAACACTCAGACAATTCATATGATTTAACTGTCGGTATTACTTTGTGTATAAACAATCAATCATGATTTTGACATTAAGTGTCGACATTATTCTATCCAACCGATTGCTTAAAATTATAGATTCTTTATCATTTTTTAAACCACAATTTTTTTCCCAAAATTAATAATAAACAAATATTCTAAAGTAAATAGCCATACTTCTAAAATCTAGTTATTTGTATTTCGATATTTATAATACTACCATTACTTACATGGCAAAACCATAAAATTCCGAACATCGACTATATCGGTTTGGTTGGTCGAATTTGTTGGTCTTAAAATAATTTTCATGGTATTGACTAGAGGACAAGCAACGCTACCACACGTTCTATCAGGTCCCTCGTTATCGTTTGCGAACATCGTACCAAGAATTTCGTCACCTCGAGTGCCCCGAATCATATATGCTACAAATGCATTGCCTGCAATTAACCCCACGTCATGAGCTACCTGTAAACACGTAAACCCTCAATAAGGTATTATACTATGTTAAACTATTAAATTATAAATTTTAAAATAAAAAACAATTATTTCTTACTTGAAGTCCTCTCGCGAGATTTCTGGCAACAGCTACCCGACGACCATTGCCTTCCAGCTCGCATTCCTCTCGATCCGATAGCACGTAAGCCATTTTCGATGCTAAAGTCATCAAAATGGCCGTTCGCGATGCCGTCCAGCAACCCAACCAAGCTCCCATTAAAAAATACCCAGGTAATAGAATAGAGACTTTAGGATATAAATGCACTCCTACGAAAGCCACTGCTACTACATAGCCGACTACTAGACAACTTCTTGTACCTAATCGATGAACCGCAGTTGGACCTATCAAGGCACTTATAGCCGCCATACCAAACATAGCAGATAGTAATATTGATCCTATGTCTGTTGTCACTGTAGCAAATCCACTGTTCTGCTTCAGCTCGTTTGGCCACCACCATGCAGATATCGAACCCTAAAAACGCAGATGACAAATGTTATATTAAAATTACATTTTAATGTAATAAACGGATTAATGTAGTAAATCATTAATAATCAAAATAAAATCAACAACATTTTTTATATTAACACATTAATCACTACATTGTTTAGTGTAAAAAATGTACTTTACTGTTATAAGTTATAAACATATAAATGAAATAGTTACAAAAAAAAAATTACTCGAGAACAAAATATCATAGAGATATTTGATGAACCAATAATTAGCAATTGTATATAGTAATTAATATAGTCATGTACCATTATTTTAATTATATTTAGAGTGTTTTATCAGATTGAAATCTCTATGAACTCCAAAAAACAGTACAATTTTATAACAGTATTAACACATTTATCTTTGAGTTTAAGAAAAGAAAGCTTTTATTTGCCATTTGTAAAAAACTTACCTGTAGCTAGTTTACAATAATAAAAAATGAACAAAGTAGCAAAATATCAAAGAAACTATACGATATAGCATACACAAAAATAATAGCAATAACTCAGTTTTTTTTTTTAATGCAACTTATATTATTGTAACATTTATTTTGTTTTATATAAACATTTCTTATGTTTTTTATATATATAATACAATATAAATTTTAGCAAAATATGCAACTACGCCACAGATATTTTTAAAGATTATTTTAGTAGAAGTTTTTTAGGAAAATAATTTTGTAAGGTATTTATTGCTAATGTGTTTTATAATGATACAATTTAAAAAAATAATTCTTACTTATATTTAATATCGTTATCTGTTGAATCGAATAATGAAGAAATAATTTTATTTTTTTCGGTACAGAAAAATTGTTCTTAATACTGACTAGAAAGACATACGTGTTTATATTTTTAATTACAGTCCTGTAAGTTTGGTTTCTAATCAAAATATAAAAGGCGCTTCTACACATGTATATATTTAAATCAGTACTTTAATTAAATAATTGTTGACTTGTATTTATTAATAAAAATAAAAATTCAGATTTATATTCTAGTATTACTAATTTAAGGATCGTATTAATCAATTTTCAGATTTTCATTCAACTCCAAAAATGGATTCCTAGCACAATGGGTTCGCGGTACACTGAGGATGCATAATTGTTAAGAAAAGTATAGATAATTATTATTATTTCGTGTGACATAATATAAGAAACATATTTCATCTTACTTACTAGCTAAATTTATAATAATTCATAGCAATTTCACAAAATATAAGTAATTAATAAATAAATATTATAATAGAATTATATAAGTAAGTAAAATAAAATATTAACATTATTGTTTAAGAACTTGATTATTTTTGTAAATTGAAGTTATTACATAACATCCAAGTTCTCTTTCCAACTTATCGCTTCTTTTCTTACTTGGTGGATATTATGTATGCTACCATTCTCGAAGAAGGCATGTGTTAATGATGTGACTAATTATTTGTGAGTTTTTTCCATAATTACATGCTTCAGAATCGCGTAGGCCTCATTTAAACATCATATCGACACTTCTAACATGTTCTGTTGTAATATGATTTAGCGTAGTCCAGATTTTTCTTGTTCTGGTTCTTCGGCAGTTGGGGATGTATATATACAGTTATACATATCAGTGTTTTATGATACCCAATCTTCAATCCATTTGTGATTTAAAAAATTTTTTCTTGAATGAGCTTCTTTGCGGTTTGATGAGCATTTTAGGGACTTCAGTCGTTGCATTTCATTTGGTAGAAATAGATCTTTGTGAATTGAAAAATTTGGGTTACCAAAATATTTTCCATATTCGCATAAGAGATTGTTATCTCTTTGTAATCTAGAAGGAGCAATGTTACTGAGAACTAGTAGCCATTTAAAAGGAATAGATTTTGTAAATCCGCCTATTGTTCGCATTGTAATGTTGAGTTGTTTGTCTATTTTGTTAGTGTGTGCTGCTAAGATAAGTAAACAATATTATGCTGTCGAGTAAATAGGAGATGGAGTCCTAATGCGCAATGCGTTTGCATCTACTCACCATGTAGAGCCAAACAACTTAGATATAATGACGTGTTATAACTTAAGTAATCTCATCTTACTTTTTTCCTTTCCTAAGTACACTATTACTTTTCTATTACTAAGCATTTTGTGAAGCATCGTGTATAATGTCTTACATGGGAACATATCAAAAAAAGTTGATAAGAGTCCTTTCGGCCATACCATGTCATAAGTAGATAATAGGTCAATAAAAGACACGGGAGTTGTCTGCTAATTATTGTATTCAATTTTAAATCTAGGTTGTGAACGGCATTACTTGATTACAGCAATTTCTGTAGGTAACAGACCAAAGCTTCTATGATATAAAGCCAAGATAAGGGTAAAGCCAGTGATTCTCGCTTTTCGTGACATATGTTGTTCATTTAGCACATGGGTTTCCTGAAGTATGACTATATCAATTGTTTGATTTTATAATAATTATTCGAGATAACTACTTTTTTTTATACTAATTTCTTCCACATAAAATGATAAAATTCGGAACTAAAGGTCTAATTCTCAAGTCAAATAGCCCTTAGAAGAACTGATTTTAGGGTAAGATGAAACAGTTTTGCTCATGGTTAGTGTGAGATTTAGAATAAGAGTTAAGAAGTCGATAATGGCCAAAAAAAAATTTTATGCGAAGCGGAAAAGGTATTATATTTTACTATGATGTGTGTTTTTTTGTTTTTTATGTCTGTTACCACTTTTTCTCAGCTCTCACCGAACCGATTTCTTTATATTCGAACCGATACGTCAAAAGATCACAAATCGTATCTAGTCGAAGACATCATCCTCAAAAATTGAAAAAAATTCCCTCGTTCTCCGTAAATAGGGAAGATCACCAAAAAAATTACATATTTAAAAATCAATAATTTTTGACATTTTTTCATTTTTTTTACTTAAAACTGGCATAACTTTTTGACAATTATATGAATCATCACAATTTTTTTTATAAATAAATTATGTATTTACTTAACATTTGGTATATTTTTTTTAATCTGACCTCCACCTGCCCGCCCACAGGGGGGATTTAAAATGACAACTTTTTCACAAAAAAATTAACTATTTCAACTTAACTTTTGAAAGTGTTCAAACTGACACTTTGATACATATCTTAAATTAAAATTTATGTAATGTACTTCAATATGAAAAAAAAATAATTTTGAACTTTATTTTTTCTTCATGGTGAAAATGGCTACCGTATTAAAAAAAAATGCTACTTTTGTGTTAAAATTCTCGATTTTATATTTTATAGTTTAACTTTATATTTCTATAACTTATATAAAAATGTATGGATCAATAATTTTTTTTTTTAATCGTATCATTTCCCTTTATACAGAAGGACCAAAACTTTAAATATGCGTATAGAAACTAGTATTTTTTCAACTTAATTTTTGAAAATGTTATGGAAATACTGTAGATGATACATTTGAAATATTCAGAACTATTTTCCTTGTAATTATATCCTATAGTTTTTAACTAATTAGTAATAATATCAAAAATTAGTGGTAATAGAAAAAATCGAATTGCTGATTTAAAATTAGCACCAAAAATTGAATAATAAAAGTATATTTTTGACTCTGATGAAAATTTCTTGCAGACCATTTATTCATAATTAACAACAAATTATTATCTAAAAAGTTTTGTATCAAGCCCTTCAATTTTTATAAGACACATTTGCCATAAAAGTAATAACTACTTTATAATTTTTTATAAATTCTTCGAACAAATTCCAATACTTAATTATTAAATATCAATCTCATATTATATTTAAATGCTATAATAAATATTTATTCATATATAATACTCAATCAAAAATTATTAATCAGGAATAATAAAGGAAATAGGAATTCATTTTGCTTTTGGTATAATCCACCAATGTCTTAAAATTAAACACTATCTACAGATTTGCATCGACGCGTTTCTTATGATAGTGATTTTAATCACTGTCACATATCATCTATACTTGTCCCAACTATGTCACGTCAAAACTTTGCTACCGATCTTTATAATATTTTAATTTTCAGATATTATTCTAAATTTCTAAAATTAAGGGAATTTATCTATTTTTGGTGGCAATAACTTCTAATGGAATAAAATCGGGTTCTTTCGGTGTATTAATCATTAAAACCGTAAGATATAAGAATTTGTATGATCAGCCGTAAAAAAACACGCACATATTAGTAAAACCTTCTCATCATATTATATATTATGTTAACATATATTTTTATGAAATCCTTTCCACTCAAGAGGGTCATAGAAGTCATCATAATCTCATATCAAAATATATTCATTGTTATCATATAATATATATACATATGACTATTAAAAAATAGCTGTTAATAATTGGTATTATTCATATACCGTACAAAAATGTTGCACAATTTAAAACAAAAGTCATTTTAATATTTTTTGCTATGAACAAGATCGAATTAAGTCTAAAGGTGATAGTTTTCAAATGTTTTGTTTAATAAATAAACAACTAATTTAAGCTTTTTTACATTTTTATAATGTAAAATCGTTATTTTTAAAATAATTTCCTTATTGTTGTACAATCTAAACTCCGACTGACCTGTAATGCTAAAAATGGTATTAACGCAGCGGTTGAAGCACCATGGCCCAGACACAGTGTCACATAGTTTCGACACAACAGCCGACGACTGTACACAGGCCCCATATTGGACGGAGTAGTACGGACTACTTCAATAAGGCGACGCACTGATGAAGCCCCCGCAGAGCTAGATAACGAGTCTCGTCTTTTGACCGATGTCACGTTCGTAATTGATATTTGACGGTGAGTTGTCGAAAGCGTTGACCGGAGAGACGTTGGCGAAAATGGTTTCTGTAAAAAAATAACGATAATAATAATAATACCAAAATATGTCAATGATATACGAATTAAAATTATAATTAGCAAACTTTTGTTAGTCAAGAAAAATTATTCCAGTTTTTTTCAATAATTTATACATTATATCTAAATAAATAATCGCCATATGAGTAGTTTATTAAATATGTATATATATTCTATTTAAATAAAAATTAGTGAATATTGAGTAATTTTATTTTAAATGACGAATTAAGTAATGTATAAAAACAAGGAAATGTTAACATATTTCTGAAGAACTTCGACTGGTGGTAAATAATAGTTAATTGCCTATTTATTATTGAAATCTCAGTCAATATCAATAAAAAGAAATCATCTAATTGATACGTTATTTAATAGTGCCTTAAGAAAAAAAATGATAGAATTTCTTAAAACTTGACTTGACAATAGAGTTTAAGTAAAATAATAATATAATACTACAAATAAAATAATATCATAGATTCGCAAACTTGATCTATAATTCAAGTATGACTATTTTTTATATTATTGTATTTTAACAATGTCAACTATAAATTTGTATAATTTTTTTAATTCATGTTTGATTTATTTCATAACAACGACGACTTAAATTAATAATGTATATTTTATTTATTTATTAAATTACTTATTAAAATACTCCATCTACACTTTGCATAAACAGAATAAATTTAATTAAAATTCGTTTTACTACTAAAATCGCAATGGTGTTAATGTGAGCCATCGAATAACATTTATCTAGCGAGTGCAAAGGAATTATTTAGATTATACCGCATGACATTTTAATTCATATAAATGCTCTCAAAACACTTTTTAGATGATTAAACGCTTCAGTAAAATAAAGAGATTAATTTGAATATCACTGATACCGCATGTTATTAATCCTGCATCTAGCTTACTAATAATAATAAAATCATAATACGTTAAGGTCTAGAATAATAAAAAAAATGGTCATAATAAATTTACTAAAGGACAAAATTGCATCTAAAAAACTAAGGCCTGTAAAATAAATTTTAATACATTCTTTTAAAAGTATTAAATTAATTAAATTACTTTATGATTAAATAATAATGCTACTAAGCTAACACAAATAATATTTATTACTACGACAAGAATAGAAAATTTCGTAAAAAGCTTAAACACCCTTTAAAATGTGTCATATTTTATGATCATTTATTAAAATATTAATTTGTTGTATTTAATAACAAAAAGGATTACTCATTGATTAAATATATTTATGCTAGAATTAATTATTATTGCAAATTGTAAAATAAAGTGATTGTAAAATTCAGTAGAAATTAAATTGTACCTATAAACATGTTGTTTAACAATAATTAACGTAGAGGTTTATTAACTATTAACTCAAAAAATTTAAGTCAAATGTTTTATTCAATACAGGTTAAAGGCTAACAAAATTACAGATAATTTTTTTATGAGTGAATCAATAGTTGATTGAAAATCCATCACGAATTACATGCGTGTAAAAGTACAAAAATTTTATAGTTAATGTGCCGCCAAAAATTTAATAAATTAAAAAAACCTCTAATATAGGTAAAATAAATTATAGTATATATAATTAAAGTATATATTAACTTATAATAATATATTCTATTGATGATTATACTTAGTAATTGAACATTATTAATAATTTCAAAGAGAATATGTATAAATATACCAATAAAAAATTCTTCAAAACATCAAATCTCCATAAATTTATTTATATCCAACATGCTCTCAAGCATGCAGCTTAATATTAAAGCGAACAAGAAGGAAAAATCTATATAGCTAATAAAACCTAAATAAACTAATTGCGATTTATATTAATATTTTATTGGTAAAATTATTTGTATAATCTATATTTCTAATCATTAGAATCATAGATTACAAATTGATCAAAAGGTGAGAATATATAAAGGTCATAAGGATTTCATTTTAACTAACCTCGTTAATCTGCCCATCAGTTAGTTTGTCGGGTGAAACAATTCCATGGAAGTTACTCATACACAAGCTATTGGTTTGCTTTAACCACCTGTGTTGTGTTCGAGAGTTTCCCATGCCATGATAGTCGCATTCTAAGGGGATAAGCCTCGGTTTACAAGTGGCTCCTGGTCGCTCCTTACTTAGTTCGTGCAAATTCGGCAGTGAGCCCATCGTAACAGTTTGGTCACATAATAATGACAACAATATTATCACATCACCTCGCAAAGATGACCAAAATCATTCCTATGCACTACGTCTTTGAAGCCGCGCACCACTATTGCTGGTAAGAGTCGTACCGCGTAGAATTAAGGCATTTGCCACCCGGGCGCATGCACAACTTAACAGCGACGACACAACGGCGACCTGGACCGACTTGATGTACTCGCTCCGCCTATCCTGTACGAGTCCATTTACGGATCGATAATCGTGACCTCGACGATAGAAGCCTGTTGCTGCAATCACTGCTGTTGTCGGTATAATTTACTCATGTTGGTTTCTCAAGAGTTATTTAGTACTTGATATCTGAGTTTCGTTAATATTGATTGAGATTATAACATCGATATCTAATATATACATGTATAAGTAAATAGTAAACCGAACGATACAAATTAATCGGTTAATTATAAGCCATTCGATTACTCTCAAAATAAATACAATACTAATAAATATTGCAATGAAATGTGCCCTATGCCTCCTCAAGCTACGCCATTAAGACCTATTGAGATTGTCTCGGTAGCTTTCCAAATCAAATACAGGCAAATGGCAACACAGGTTTCCTTCTTGAAAGAACATTAAATTTAAATTGTAAAATGAATTGTTTGCAGAAACCCAATATTTAAATAAAGGGCGCTACTAAAAAAAATTTTTTTTGGTGTACAGTTAATAAAAAGATCACTAGTGGGTGGGTACATTGGCGCCGAGGTGTTACAAAATTACTAAGACGATAGAAATTTAAAAACGTCCTAATATGATGTATCCTGATATCCCACTCATCTGTGTCTCGTCACCCATCAGAATTCACAACAAAAGTGTGCCCAAATTTTACTATTGGAAAGGAGGATTACAGTGTTCCAGCACACACCCATTCCTTAAAAATATTATGATATCTGTCATACATATTATAAGTGACCGGCACCACTCAGTGGATGGTATGATATAGGCATTACTAATAAAATGAAGAATCATCCTAAGTCTTAAAGAACAAAAATAATAAGGAGGAAATTGCTGAACCGTTTGTACAAGTACACAGGTTTTCAAGAGGCACGGATTACATTTTATTCATCAAAATGTAATAAATTTGATTCATTCATTAGCTTTGACGCAAATCTGAGAAGGTATTAATTTTACTATGATGTATTTTTTTATGTCTGTCGCCACTTTTTCTCAGATCACATCAGACAAATTCCTTTCTGCGATGTGTCAAAAGATCACAAATCGTTTCTAGTTCAAGACATCGCCCTTAAAAATTGACACAATTCCCATTATTCCCTGTAAATAAGGAAATCCAAATCAAATTACAATTTTTTAAATCGGTAAAATTCGACATTTTTTAAACTGTCAAAACTTTTAAAAAATGAATGAATCAAAATAATTTTTTTTATAAAAACTCATTAAGTATTTCCCCTCATTTGATATAAATTACTTCAAGATCTAACCCTTTCCCCTTTAGGGGAGGATTCAAAATAGCTACTTTTGCATGAAAATACTGGTTTGGAAATACTGCGTCCTTTAAACATATCTTAAATTAAAGCTTATATTACGTATTATAAATTAAAAATAAAAAAAGTGTCCCGACGACTTATCTTCTATGTACAAATGGTTACCGTAGTTAAAAAACATACTACATTTGTATTAAAAAATTGTTTTTCATATTTTATTTTTTCAACTTTAAATTGCCATAACTTATTTAATATGTATGTAACAAGACATTTTGTTTGTAAATGGTATATACATATTTCTTTTGTCCGACATACATTTTTATTATAACTTAAAATGCCGTACAAAGGATAAGCTACAATGAGGTTATTTATTTTAATAAATGTTACGTGGATGAAATCTAAGTTGAATATAAAGTTAAACTTATATTGGTTTTTTTTGCGAATTTCTCCCTTTTAAGTTGTATCCTATCGAATACACTTACTTTTTGCATTTTTTTTCAACTTAACTTTTAAAAATCTTCCAAAAATACTCCAAGCTTCAAACATATGTTAAATTAAAACTTATGCTACTTATTAAAGGTAAAAAAATTTGTCCCGACAACTTGTCTTCTGTATGAAAACGGCCTTCAAAATTAAACAAAAAATATTATTTTGGTCTAAAACATTTTTCGAATTATTATAATTTTCTAATTAATTTTTTTTTCAATTAATTTATTTATATTTTAGATCAATCGGTAAATTATTATAGGAAAAATAAGGAAAAATCTCATTCAACCCCTTTTTACTATTTTTTTTTTCACAAAAACACATTTTAACACAAAAAAACTTCCCTGTATTATTAGCTACTTCATTTCATTTTGTTTATGAAATAATTATTTATGACTTTTCTTAAAATATCTCATTTTTCTCTTGGTATAAATATTTAGGCAGCCCACTTTGCGGGTTATTTTCAATATATCTAGTATTTCAAACCTTTTCACTATTATTCTTACTGTGAACAAACTTAAGATTAATTATTCACTGATTGCACTATATGTTAAATCTTCATTTTTTAATGAAATGATTTCATATTTCTTTGAAAAGGATATTTCTTTTGACTTACGAAACATTTTAAATTTTATTGGTTAGCCAAATGTTTTTCTTTCACATCTAACTATACCACAGACTATATGAAAACAGATAGTTCACTTAGCCGAGAACAATAGAAAAAAAAATCAAGCTCTCTGATTGGGCAGAAGACAAAGCAGTAGAGACTGTTGTACAATTTCATATTATTGTGCAAATATCTTACAATAATATTGTACAATTCCTCTATCAGTTACAAAAATTATCAATGATATTGGAATTAGTGACACTATTGCATTTTAAATACTTGAACGATAATTAATTATAACTGTTCGCATACTTATTTTGTTTAAATAACGTTTAGTCTTAATAAAAATGTTTTTTTTTTTAATATTGTCTGACATTATGAATATTGTGTTTAATTTGTATAAAAGTTGACATTTTGTGTAGTTTATTATTTCATAAATTTTTTGTCAACGTTTAGTTAGTTTTACCTATAATATATGAAGCTGTAATTTTTGGTAAAACTGTTAATAGTATTATATTTTTTATAAAATTTGAATTATTTTAGATATAATAAATAATAATATAAATTATATAATAAATTTTATATT